GTAGGGCGGCGGCGGTAGAGGACGCCATCATCCTGGGCTACCACGCGAGCCCGCGGCCGCGAAGCCAGGGGCTGGCGTGTCTTCCCGCACCGTTTCCCACGGTTAAGGCACCGCAGAGCCACCCTGCAGTTAAACTGAAACGCCTGCACACAGTGCAGACTCACATAGCAAACATGGCCGACGGCTCCGAGGAAAAGCCGGAAGTAGGTCGTGTGGGCGGGTCAGAGGGGCGGGGCATGGGGCGGGACCTCGCGTGATAGGGGCGGGGCCTGCCGCCGGGAGCGGGGTTGGCGGTCAGGTGTCTGAAGACGCTCGCCCTCTCCTCAGCGAACTGGAGGTTTCCGCCTTCTCCTGGGGGCCGGGCCGCACCGGCTCCGCCCCAGCCAGGTGTCCGTCGGTTCCCAGGTGCCCTACGGATCTTCTTCGAGATTCCGGTGCCGCAGGCCTGTGCAGCTGGCCAGCAGCGATGGAGAACGCCCCCGAGTGCACGCCTTCTCCCGCCGAGTTCACACAGCCTCCCAGCTCGGCCTCCCTGGCCGAGGTGGCGCCTCCCGGAGATTCCTGCGCCCAGCCCCTAGACACGGTCCCCAAGAAACTCTGTGGGTATTTAAGTAAGTTTGGCGGCAAAGGGCCCATCAAGGGCTGGAAATACCGCTGGTTCTTCTACGACGAGAGCAAGTGTCACCTGTACTATTCGCGCACCGCTCAGGATGCTAACCCCTTGGACAGTATCGACCTCTCCAGTGCGGTCTTTGACTGCAAGGCGAACGCTGAGGATGAGGGCACTTTCGAGGTCAAGACTCCCAACCGGGTTATTACCCTCAAGGTAAATGGAACTTTTCCCCTCTTTTCCAGCCCCAGCGAGTTTTCAGGCCCGATGCATGGTCAGAGTACATTGACCAGGGCAGTGATTGCCACCGTTGTGTTCAGAGCCTGGAGCTTTCTCACAGAGCCTTCACACCATTTCCTTATTGCCTTCTCCCAGGCAAGGGTGAAGAGACTCATTTTATGGATCAAGAAACTGAATCATAGAGAAAACGGTATGTCTCAGACTGGGCATTTACAACGATGCGATTCACTTTTGAAATATTCCAGTGCAGTATCAAAACTTTACTTTGCTGGTTCCTAACTACTCAATTTCTTTGACTCACTTCCTTGGTACTGAAGCAGTCAAGAGACTGTGGTTGCATTTTTGAGGTTGGATCTGATTCATGTCTTGGTGGTTTGGCCAAGAGGAGTGAAAGCAGACATGGGCAGGGGTTAGGGGGGAAAATATGTAAGTTCAATGATCGGTCTAGATTGTACATCCAGGCATGTCTGAACTGGTGAGTTTTTAGTAAATGTTATATGAATAAGCACATATGCACACACAGGGTGTTGGAGCCCCAAGTCAGAACTCACCATGTTAAGAGGAAGTGTCCTGTCAAGTAACTAGAGGCTCAGAAAGAGTGCAGGAATGAAGGTCTTCCTCCCCACTGCCTGACTCCATCTCCCTGTGGCCCCCAACCTGCAGCTCTCTAGGCACTAGGGTGCCCACCGTTTTAATTTTCCTTTCCTGGCAAGGTATAGCTAGTTGACTAGGCTGACAGGGAGGGCACCATTAGAATAATGGAAACCCAGATTTTTAGTCCAGAAGGACATTTTTGAAGTCACGAGAAACTTAGGTCTTGTGTTCCTTCCATAAGCCAAGCACTATGGACAGGGCCTCTTAGCACATGGATTTTACTGTTCCATTAATCCACACATATTCCTGGCTCTGTGCTAGGCTCTGGGGTGTGGAACAAGTTGGACTTGTTTGCCTCTACCCCTTGTTCCCAAACAGCATAAGTGTGATGGGAAAATTGGCGGGCATATTTAAATGCCTTATGGAGACACTGTGAAGATTTGGGACCGGAAGAGTGTGGTGACAGGAGGAATCAGCTCCTCCAAATGAGGAAGGGGGGCTTTTCAGAAAGGCATCACTTAAATGAGAGAAATGATGAGCTTTTTGACATGCAAATGGTAAAGGCAATGATGCTGAGGGAACCAATGAGCAAAGATGGAAAAACACAGTGTAACCATGAGTATCTAGGCAAGCCACAGGAGCCTGCCCCAAAGATGGAGGTGAAGGGAGAGGTATTGGTGAATTAAGCTCAAGGGCTTGGATTTTATCCAGTAGGTTGTAGAAGTTGTCTAAGAGCCTTAGGCTAAGGGGGTACAATGAGATTAGAGGATTTAGAGAGCTCAGAGAACAAATTGGGGGAAGAGGAAACTGGCAGTCTTGAGAACCCATCGGAAAGTAGCCAAAAGGGATTGATGGCTGAGCAGGAGCTGTGGCCCTGGAGAAAAGGCAGATGAAGGGTAGCCAGGGGTGTTAGACCAGTAGATGGAAGAGATGGTAACTGGCTGGTTGCATGATTGGGGTAGTGCTGACAGGAGAGAGCCCTCAGGGTGATGAAACTGTAGGACACCCAGATCTGTGTCATCTGATGTAAATGCTGGCCAGATGATCTAAGGACTACTTCATGAACCTCAGTGTGAGCCAAGATCACATGTGCTGGCTGCCATAGGGTCTCCGGCATCAGCAGAGCCTCTGACATTGAGTGGTTGCTCAGTGTGAGCATGTCAAATGAGTTGAGGAATAAAATGAGGTGCTGTGTTTGGCTGGGGATTATCAGGTCATGGTGAAGCCTAAGAGCAATTAAAGCTTTGGAGGGACAAAGTATGAAAAGAAAAAACTGGTAGACATCATTTGGTCTTATTATTGATGTTTGCATAACAGGCCAAGGGACTCTCATAGAAATACCCCTGTTCTAGTTGAGTTCCTGCTGCCTTGAAAAACACCACAACTAAAAGCAATTTGGGGGAAGAAAGGGTTTATTTGGCTTACTTACACATTCCAGTCCATCACTGAAGGGTAGGAACTCAAACAGGAACTAAAGCAAAGACCATAGCAGAACACTACTTACTGGCCTGCTCTCTCTGGCCGTCTCAACTCCCTTTTTATATAGCCTAGACATACCTGCCTAGGGATGGCACCACTCACAGTGGGCTGGGTTCTCCTGTATCATAAACATGGCCACAGGCCAATCTGATCTGGACAATTCTTCAGTTGGGGTTCTCTTTTCCCAGGTGACTCTTAGTTTGTGTCATGTTGATAGCTGAAGCTCACTGTGACAAACTCTTCCCCCCACCTAGGTCATACCTCATATGTGGCCCCCTTTGAAAGAGTGAGCTTGCCCTGGTTGCTCTGTAGCCTTTTGCCATTCTTTTGTAGCCTTGATTGTGGACAGCTCCATGAGGCTCATGTCTACTCCAATGAGCTGTTTGTCCATCATATGTGCTTACATAAGCTCATTCCTTTAAAATTATGTTTAAGATAAAATTCTGCTCTATAGCGGAAAGACCTAGTTCTTGGGCCAGCCTGCCATAGCCACTATAGGCCTGGACCACTTGTATCTGCATCTGTGAAAAGGGCTGGTCACTCCTACCTTCTTCCTAGAAGATCCAGAAAGCTAAAGGATGTAAAACAGCTGTTTGGGCTATCAGTTGGGAAAGTAATGACTGATATTCACTGTTGACTTGTTGGAGTGGTGTAGGTTTCTAGCATGTTAGAATAGTGAGTATGTGGCTTTCCTGCCCCCATTGGTAGTCATGAGTTGGTGTATCCCTGCAATAAGTGGGATTACCTCCATCCCACAAAAAGGCAGCCAGGACATGGAGATGTCATACAAGGAGAGTGGTGGTCACTGGGCCCCTCCAGGTCACAACTCAATGCTCTTTCTTCTCTCATGGCACCTCTCTTTCTCTGTCTAGGGAATGCATTTGTGTACCTGCCACGTGCCAGGCAACGTACTGAGCTCTTTATTCCCCTGTGTCTTCATAACCACTATAAAATCAATAGTATTGTCACCACAAAACAATTGAGGAAACAGAGGCGCAGAGATGTGAGGAGCCCATAGGCAGGAAACCAGAGCCTGACTCTTTTCTGCAGTGCTACACAAGTGGATACAGACCTGCAGTGCTGGTGATTTTTTTCTGGCCAGGACAGAGTTCCTAAATGTCTGTGATCTCTGAAGGCCATACCTAGTGCCGCCCTGCAGGCCTGGAACCTTACTAACTAATGCTTGTGCTTCTCAGGCCGCCACCAAACAAGCGATGCTATACTGGCTACAGCAGCTGCAGATGAAGCGCTGGGAGTTCCACAACAGCCCACCTGCACTTCCTGTCACCCCTGCTGCCGGCCTGTCTGGGAATGGGTCCACCCTGCACCTCAAGCTAGGTACCAATGGGCTGGCCTCCTGCCACATACCCAAAAATTTGATAACCAGGCCTTTCTCCTATTGCTGGGAACATGGGAGGAGCCCTTTGCCAAGAAATAGAACCAGGAATGGAATATAGGATTGGTTAGGTCAGGAACATGGGCTCTGAGGCCAGGCTACTTGAGTTCAAGTTTTAGCTCTGTGATTTCAGGCAAATTACCAAACCTTCCTGAGCTTCAGTTTCCTTCCCTACCAAATGAGGTGAATAAATTATACCCATCTTAGCACTCTCAGAGCCCTAGCTGGATCCATATACCTCAAACAGTTAGAACAATTTCTGCATATGGTCAGAACCCAATAGAACATTGTGATATCCCTAGGACATCTCAAGAAGTTACACCTGCCCAGAGCTGTGAGACGGGTCAGTGAGAAGGTGCAATGTAGTGCCATCTTAGGCATTTTGGGATGATTTGTAGTATCTGATACTTTAACCCTGGTGTTTTCAAAGATCAAAGTTCTTTGTCCCATGTTGCCTACAAGTGAGGGTAATTTATTTATCTCTCTGTGTGTGTGTGTGTGTGTGTGTGTGTGTGTGTGTGTGTGTGTACTGGGGGTTGAATCCAGGACCTCATGAATGCTAGCCAAGCACTCTGCCACTAAGCTGTCATTCTTTGCCCTTGGATTTGGGGACAGACAAGTTGTTGTGTAGCCCAGATTGGCCTCAAAACTCTCAGTCCTACCTCAGCCTCCCTAGTGCTAGGATAATAAACCTGAGCCTTCACAATTTGCTGTAAGTGAAGCTTCTTTTTACTCTCATGTTCTGGAATATCCTAACATGGAGAAACCTGGAAGTCACACTTTGTCCTACCACTGTGCTGTGGCTGTAAATATGACTGATAGATTTTAGCATGGGATGAACCACTCCACAGCTGCCACTGCAATAGCACACATCAGGTCCCAGTACAGAGTCAGTGTCTAAAGTGCCACAACGTCAATCAACAGGCCAGTTAGCCAGGGTGGAGCTTCACATGACCAACACTGAGCACACCTGCCTGTGGGAGTTCCCCCTCCCTTGTAGATGACCATGTGTATGTCCACTTGTTCTCACAACAGCAGGCCACTCCCCCATCCTTCTTCAGCCGCTACCAGTCAGTCCAATTGAGCACTGCCCTGAGCCTCTTACCCCCGAACACCTGTCAGCTCCAGGTCCCCTCATTGCCATTCCCTAGGTTAGAAAATCCCAGCATCCTCCTCTCCTTGATAGTGTCCCCTACCAAGGCTTGTGTCTGAGCCTGTCCCCTGGAATCTGAGTGGGCTTTCTAAAATAAAAACCCACCCAGATGGGCAAGTTCTTACATACTGCCTAGGGCTTATCCCCCAAATGCCATCACATATCTGCAAGCCTGATAAATCCCTGCTTATTCTGTAAGGCAAGGGCTTGTGTCACCTCGTCTTGTTACTTCCCCTCAGATGCCTTCTGGGACTTTGCCATCTAGATTCAGTATTTTCAGACATTGCAGGGAGACCTGTCACATGGTGTTCTGATTACCAGTGTCCTTGTTAGTATCTACCCACTAGCCCTTAAGAGTAGGGATTGTTTCTTTGTCACCTCTGTCCCTAGTCCTTGGTGTCTGGCCTGACATAGTAGTTTTTTGCATAGTGAATGTGAGGGAAAATACATTGAACTTTATGACTAAGAAAGTACTTTAAAGCATAATGTCAGGCACACGGGTCTAGTTCATGTTAACACGATCGTAGTAGTACACAGTAATAGTATTACTGTCACAATAAAATACGCATGCTATTATTACCATATGCATGCATGTGCTGTAGCTATCATAGTAGCATATACATGCTATAGCTATCCTGATGGTGCCTACATACTATTACTACTTAATAGTACACCCACATAAACAGGCTCTCACTACTGTATAACTTCTGCTCCTTGTTGTGAATAGTCTTTAACTGGAACTCCTGAGCCTCCTGCTTCCTCCTCCTCTCATGGATTACAGGCACACACCACCAGACAGCTTCAAGCAGGGTTTTCGAGGGTTTCTTTGCACTATCCTTCTACTGTTGCTCATACTCACCACCACCACACAGCCAGGCAGCCCTGTCTATGTGGAAAATTGTAGATTGAGTTGACACAGTCGCCATAGCCAACTTCAGAGCAAAGACAAGGAGCGAGCCTGTTTTCTGTGTGTGTTGATCTGAAATGTGAAGAACTAGGCACGGTGTGGAACCCCACTGTGCTAGACCTGGCCCAGATTCTTAGTTCTATAGCTTTGCTTCAGTACACATGACTAGGCTTGTTTGGGGCTAGCATTGTTTTCTTGTGGGGCAGCCAGCATGGTGGACCTATAACCAGGGTGGTGGTGTCCCAGGGAGAGCACTGGCCTGAGATTTGGGAAGCAGAAGTATGGACTTTGCCTTTTGTCAGCCCTTCCATCCTTTACCAATCCTACCTCTGCTGGGCCCAGGGCCTGAGTGGAAATTTCCAACATCACACATACATATCTGCCTGCACACACAGAAAACCTTTTATGGAGTCTGCTTGTTTGTTTGCTTGTTTGCTCCGTAGCCCAGGATGGCTTCAGTCTCACTATGTAGCTCAGGCTGGCTTTAAACTCATGATGATCATCTTGGTTCAGCCTCCTGGATGCTGGGGTTATAAGTGTGTGCCACTATGCCTGACTCCTGTTCTTTCTGGAATCTTGGACAAGCTGCTGAGCCTTAGATTAACTGTTTGGAGCATGCTGCCCTACCTCAGCCCCTCCCTGTCCTTCCTGAGGAAGCAGAAGACTGTGCAAACCTCCTGATCAACTTCTGACTTTGAGTCATAGAGGCTGGGTCCTGTAAAAAAAAAAAAAAAAAAAAAAAAGTTTCCTCACACCCTTGAACAATCTGGAGTCGTGTTCTCTATAGCTTTTTAACATTTCCAGCTTTATTTTATACTTCACCTACACAGTGGTCCCCAGAGAGCCAAGAACAATCAGAAGAAAACTGACAGACAGATTTCTATAATTATACATTGCCAAAGGAAGCTACAGCTTACAAGAGACATTCATAAATATCTGCCACCCAAAATTCCCTTTTACTAACCTTGCTCTAGTGTGACCCTGTGTCATCTCATTTAATCCTTAGTCTTCCAGATGTTATTCTCATGTTATAGGAGAGAAAGCTGAGGCCCCTTGGCAAGGAAATGCTCACCCTAAAATTCAAACTGCGTCCTTCAGGTTCACACCTCAGAGCTGAGGGGGCTTTCAGGGCTACACCACAGAAGCAGGAACCGACTGGCCTAGGCCCTTTTTTGTATAGGCAGGGACTTCCTTGTAGTGCAGGGGCAGCCCAAGCGCTCAGGCAAGAGAAGTCAGAGTGCTACTGGGTATGCCTAGCATGGTTATCTCACTTTCTTCAGGCAAAAGGAGCCAGGGCCTTGAGCCATCGAATCTGTCTCTGGTGGGAGGTGCTGGTCTCAGTAAGGCCACTATGTGTGCCTGTCCCTTTAGTTCTCTGCAGTAGGTGGTGCCTTTTGGGCACCCCCACTTCAGGACAGCATTCTGTCCCTGTGAGCCACAGAGTTTAGTGAAAAGGGCATAATGGCTGAATTGCATCTGAACTCATGTCACCAGCTGGCTTTGGCTTCCCCACAGACCTTATCCTCTCCAAGATGCTCTTTCCTTATTGATCTTTCTGTCTCTGTCTCTGTCTCTGTCTCTGTCT